GAATAATACTCAAATCTTTTAGGGCTAGTTGAATACAGGGACTGAGAGGACTCTAATACAGGGTACAAAAACATCATCATGGCTCCCCTGCAAGAATGCAGGGGGCCAGTGGTAGTGTCTTGGCTCAAAGTTTGTCTCACAGTGGGACCAGGATGTCATTTTCCTCGTCTCTGCGTGCTCAATTGGTATGGATATACTTGGTAGCTGACTGTACCCTCCTGCTATTTCCCTGGCCTGTGGAGTAACAGCCAGAAGGGGAGAAAAGGCCAAGTAGAAGCTCTTGAATTTGCTGACTCTGGCCAAGATCATAAATCAGAAGCAATACGTCATTCTATGTGGAATTACAGGGATCGGTGCTAACCTCAAAAACATGAAAGGATAAAAATTACCATTATATCCCCATTTAACCTGACTGTCTGGTACCTGCAGAAGAGAGATGAATTGTGGCAGATGATGTAAAACCATTTATTGGGTAACATGGAAAGCTGTTAGTTTTGAATGGGGCTCCTTACCAGCCCTGCTGCTATTTGGGTCATATGTCATGGCAGATTCTATGTGCTGCAGATTTCTTGATAAGCATGCCATGTACGTATTCTGCAAGTACCAAAATAAGAGCCATTGCGCAGACACCCTATTATTCTGGAGCAAGACGACATCATCCACTACAGAGAACTATTCATCTTTTGAAAAGTAGCTCCTATTGTGGTACTACACCATAACAGAAGCTCGGCATCTGACTTTAGAGCATCAGGTGACTGTAGGATGGAGATGCCCATCCACATCTGGGTTTTGTCAGACCCACCAAGTAATAAGATTGAAGTTTAGCATAAGATGGAAAGGATACATTCAAGTTCAGGCCAAAGGGAGCCTGGAGGGGATAAGAAAGTTAAAGATTATCCAAATTTCCCTTCCAGACATCTTTCTCTATTGCACTAATGCCAACCCCACAGATGGCACGATGGCCCAGTGGGGAAGTTCACTGTGACCAGCTGACAAAATATGATGGGTTCTGGCTGTCATGTAGGTAAAATTCAAAAGTGTGTTGCTGCTATAATCCTACTCAAGGTTGCCCTGAAAGACACCAGTGACACAAAACCCTCCTATGGGCAGAGCTTTGAATGGTATACCCAGTCATCAAGTAGCTGTGGAAGGGAAGTGGTCTGAGGTAAGTATATGCATGTGCCTATATCCTTGACCTCTGACTACATCCATGGCAGCACAGTGCTTGCAAAATTGACCTTGAAATGGAGTACTCAGAACATCAAGGATAACAGTTTGCACACGTATGCCAAAGGCTGCCCAGGTATTATACAGTTACTACCAGTGCTGATTTCAACCAATCAAAAGAAAAAAATTAACGTTCAACTCCCAATTTGGTACCATTTTTCAAGAAACCCAACAGCCCCTTGGTGGCAAGTTAAATAAATCAGACCTCTTTCAGCCTGGAGGGAACAACAGTTTGGGTTTACAGAGATGGATACACGTTTCAGTATGTTTTTTTCCACCCTTTCCTGTGTTAAAGAGGCAGCCTGAGTCTATATGTCTGCGCGCCTAGAAAGCTTCTACTCACTGCCACCTATTGCTTCTCCCATGGACTCTGGTAAAGCTGGAGTAACACATTCATATTGTTTGCCTGTTCTGCTCACTGACAAAACCATGGCCCACCAGAAGGAACCCTACTCCTCTGCTATGCCTTGTGTCCATCAGGTTAGGTTCAGAGAGTAGGGTACTCTTGTGGACCCCAAGGTCTGGGTCCACCATGAGTGGGGAGCAAAATCCTCATTAGTTCTGTTCCGGGCTTATCTCTGCTGAATTTCAAATTTCAGTACTGCTTCCCTACTAAGATGCACACATAAAGAATGTCTTTGGGAGATGTACTGTGCCTTTCCAGATTCAAGTTGCCTGAGACTGACTTTAATTCAATTGCCCTTTTCTGCTAAAACAAATAGGTAAAACTTAATGATATAGAAAGCTTGGTGACATTTTGCTCCAGCATCCCCAAACTGAAGAAGATAGTAATTAAGTCATTTCCTGTATAATAAACACAGCAAAACATAAAAGTGAAGCTAATCAGCCTGGGGAGCATTACTAAAAAGGAAGGGCAAGGAAGAGAAGGAGATAAATCACCGGTGGGTGCCATTGGGAGGAAATAAGGCAAATAAGACTTGAAATTTGTATTGGGTAATACTCTAGTTACAGCTACTCACTGTGGTGCAGGGTAAATTTAATTTTTATTACCCCAACTCAGCCTTCTGTTCTCATTCTGATAAGCATTACCCTAAGAACTAGCTTGTGGGACTCAAATGGATTGACTTTTGGACTTGGTGTCCTGAGGTGTCTTAAGAACTTCATCCCCACATAAGGAGAGTGCAGAGCAATATGTGGATGGATAAATTATGGATGGCAATGCAAAGGCAGATTTGGGGGGAATAACATTTTGCTTTATTCTATTTAAAAACTATATTTGTTATAATATGTTTCCTTTTTCCTTTTCTTCACTTTTGCTGGATTAATCAGGTTCCCCCCCCCCTTTATTGTCTTCTACTGGCAAGTTGATATTACTCATACAGAGTTCTACTTTCTAAAGGCTAATTTCCTGTTTCTAAATACTAACATTCATTCTGTATTTCTCAATTGATGTAACACATTTAAATAATATCGCTCCAGATAATTTATTCCCCAGGCATCAAAGAGAGTGCTGATTTGAAACCCAGCCTCCCCTGATCATACAGGTATGGGAGTGAACAGAAGGGACATGTGTCACGTGACTGTTGCTGGGTGAAAACTATTCATTCGTTGGTGACAGTGGCCCAAGACAAACACAAGAGTCAGTGACTCAGACAGCCTCAATTCTTCTGCTTTTATTATTTGCATTTTCATTCAATCCCTGTTGCACTCTCCCATCTTGTGGTTATTGATAGGTTCGGCTAAAAAAAAAAAACAACACCACCTGAATTTTTGGATTTGTGGCTTTTTTATGTCACCTTTTTGGAATTTCAGAGTTTTCTTTTTTTTTTTTAAAGATTTTATTTATTTATTTGACAGAGAGAGACACCGCGAGAGAGGGAACACAGGCAGAGGGAGTGGGAGAGGGAGAAGCAGGCTTCCCACCGAGCAGGGAGCCAGATGCGGGGCTCGATCCCAGAACCCTGGGATCATGACCCGAGCCGAAGGCAGACGCTTAATGACTGAGCCACCCAGGCGCCCCGAGAGTTTTCTAATCTCTAGATTTTGAGACCAACTTGTTCCTGCTTTCTATTTTTTCAGGAATTCCCCATTTTCCTGGTCTTGCTGTGCCAACTTTTCCTGTTATCCAGGACACCTATGAATTAGACTTGATATTTCATCTGTCATTGAAGCTGCATTTTATGAGGAAGACAAAACCATCACATACGTGGCTATTGTGATCTCTATGCTAAAATCCAAAGGAAAGGATTGATTGAGTGATTGAGAATACAAGAGATCATTGGGATTTATTTATATTTTCTTTGTGAAATGCCATAGATACCTAAATTTACCAAAAGTTTCTAGAGGCAGTATGTCACAGATGAAATTTGAAAATCATATAACTCACACTCAATACTCTGCTTAATACAAAAACAGCACAAATGTTTAGGGTTTATTTTATTCTATTTTTTTATTTTTTTATTTTTTATTTTTTTAAAGATTTTATTTATTTATTTGAGACAGAGAGAATGAGAGAGAGCGAGCACATGAGAGGGGGGAGGGTCAGAGGGCGAAGCAGGCTCCCTGCCGAGCAGGGAGCCCGATGCGGGACTCGATCCAGGGACTCCAGGATCATGACCTGAGCCGAAGGCAGTCGCTTAACCAACTGAGCCACCCAGGCGCCCTAGGGTTTATTTTAAAATAACTCTTGTTGTAAGAATCATTCAAGGAAAAGATATTAATCCTTATGACTTCTCACATGTATTACTTTTATTCCCCTAGCCACTTGCTTTTCCTTTTCTTTGGAGTAAAACATGCAGTGTCTGTCAGCCATGAATCTGCCTTCTTTCAGTACCTTTTTTGCTTTCTGTATGGGCATGATCCACTTAGTTCTCAATTTCTCCTTTGCATTACTGTATTGGAGGCTAGTTGTGAACAGAGAGCATGGTGCATACTGTGTGTGTGTTTACCCAGAATTTCACCACCCACTGTTCCTTGTCATTAATTGAAAGAGAAAATAGAAGCTAACAGGAACCAGAGTTGATGTGGCTTACAAAGTTAATGAAGTGGAGGAAATATGAAGAGTCAGGACATGAAGGAAGATGCACCCCATGAATTACAGAAATAACTACTCTGAATTGAACAAGTTCCTGTTTTTTTTTTTTATGCAAAGGCTTAAGATATCTAGGGCTGCGTGCAAAACCACAATGTAATTAGAAATCAAGAAAAATTAATGGAAATAGATTCACTTTGCCACAGAAGGGAGAGAATCAGGGAAAGAGTTGATTAAAAAAAGATTGCTATGGGGCGGGGAAAAAAGATTGTTAGGAATATGAAAGAGAATTAAGAAATTATAAAGGAAGAGAAAAATTAATGTCTCAAAAGGCTATTATGGTTGATATAAGAGGTCACTATTTCAGTGCAATAAAATTGTATAACTAGGAGACATCAGCCAATATATTAGCTATAATCACCTATGCATATAAACGTAGACAAAGCCATCTCTACTGATGTAACACTTTAAATATGTTTTTATTTTTTGTTTTTAGCGAATAGCACAACAATTCAAGTGTAGGGAAAATAGCTTTATTGAGTAAGCTGTTTTGATGAGCTTATTAAGGGGGACGAAAGCATTTCAGGTTAGTTCCCAGATGAAGGAGGAAGTTTCTCTGCAAAATGAAATGTGGGGGAAGAGAAGTAGAGGGATTGTCTGTGTTGTCCTAAAGGTAGAGAAAATGGTTAGCATGGCTAAGAAAAGACTTTCAAAAGACCAGGCATACGTAATGAGAATTTACCAAATTATTTAATGATTTTTATTTAAATCTTACCTTCCATCATACCTAGAAAACTTTCAACAATTTCTTAATTGCTCCCTGATGCTTTTTGTTAATGGATTGTTTCCATGGGCTGTTTAAAGCTTCGTGTGAAGCAGGGTAACCTATGAAGAAAATCAAAATACTTTAGGAAGCCAAGCTCGCAACCTCAGCCAATCTGATTTTTGAAATTTAGAAACACCTTAAAAATATTTCTTTCAGGGCGCCTGGGTGGCTCGGTTGGTCAAATGTCTGCCTTTGGCTCAGGTAATGATCCTGGAGTCCTGGGATCAAGCTTGCATCAGGCTCCCTGCTCAGCAGGGAGTCTGCTTCTCCCTCTCCCTCTACTCCTCCCCTGCTTGTGCTCACTCTCTCTTTCTCTCTCTCTCTCGCTCACTCTCATTCTCAAATAAATAAATAAATCTTTTAAAAAAATGAAGGAGGTTGTCCTCCATTTAAATATATATATATATATATATATATTCCTTTCATTTTGGAAATGACAGAAACTACCTACCTCTATCTATTATATTACTTTTAGTCATTCAACCTTGAGTTATTGACTTTCTACCCTTCATAAAGCACTTGTTGGCACAACTGAAGAATTAAGTTACCTTAAAATGGAATAGTGAGTAACAATAAGATCTTATATAATCAAATACTAAAGTCACTTAATGTACACTAGGTATAATGAGTGCTCAGAGGTGTAGATAGCTCTACAGTGAAAAATGAGAAAGGAACTCAAAAAGTAAATTAAACATGATCTGGATCTTGAAAGATGGGTGAAATTTTCTTAAACAGAGAATGGAGTAGACATGAAGGACAAGAGCGGGGGAGGCATCTGAGGAGCAGTGTGGTGATGTGGGGAAAGCGCAGCACGCTTAAGGAAGAGTGGCGGTAAAGGGCAGGTGGCAAGTGAGAATGTAGCAGAGTAAGCCAGAAGTCAGAGTCGGATCCTATAGTCACATGTCTGATCCTGCCATCACAGATTTACCCAGGTTCTCCAGGACTCGTGGAAGTATGTGGAGGTGTGGGAGTTGATTGAGAAGCAGTGGTCCCTGAGGATTGGAATGCTGGGGTTAGACTGGAGTAGAATGAATCCAAGAGTTCTGAATCCACAAATCTTACAGAGCTCCCTTTGCCAGCAGAGGCCACCTCTCTTGCAACCTCCCATGAGCTGGCTCTGCCTAACTTAAAGACCCAGTGATGACCTTCTCTGAAGCAGGCATGTGGGGATGGATTTTTGAAAAGTGCTGAATCAGAGAAGAGGGGACATGGCATTAGTTGGGCCATTTCACACACATTCCCTTGATTCCTTTATATAATTTAGCAAAATCATGAAATTCTTTTCCAGTATAAACGGTCTTCTCCTGGGTCAGACTTTGTGTTTGTTCCCTGATCTGCTAATTTTCCATGGCTGCTATAACAAAATGACCACAGACTTAGTGCTTAAAACACACATTAATTCTCTTAGAGTTCTGGATATCAGTAGCCCTTAATGGTCAGCAAGGAAGGCTGAGCTCCTTCTGGAGGCTCTAGGGAAGAATCAGTTGCCCTTACCAGCTTTTAGAGACTGCCTGCATTCCTTGACTCAGAGACCCACCCTCCACTTTTAAAACCAGCGGTGTAGCATCTTTGAATCTCTCTTTCTGAATCTGACCTTCCTGCCTCCCTCTGATGAGGCTCCTTGTGATCACATTGAGCTCACTCAGATAATTCAGGATAATTCCCGCATCTCAAGAACCTTAATTTAATCACATCTGCAAATTCCCTTCTGTAAAATAACCTCTTCAAAGGTCCCAAGGATTAGGATTGTTAAAGTAATTGAACAAAGAGGCCATTTGATTGAGGTGGTTCTAATGCCTCAGTAGCCTATATAAACAAACTGAAACCTAAGCCAGAGTCAGTTCCTGTTAATGCTCTCCCATCCCAGAAAACACATTTAAGAACACCCAATCACAAACAGCCAAGTAAGTTTTCCCACATACGGCAACCACTTAAACTATAGCCAACCAAGTATTTTCCTTGCTTTGCTTCTGCAGCTGCTGTGGAAAAGCCCTTCCCCATCCTCAAATCCTAACCATTTTTGGTTTGGTGCTGCCTGATGCGAGAATTGGTGTTTGCTCACATAGTCTTAAAAGTGGGCTGTCCGGCATCTTGTTACTCAGCCTACTAAACCTGGAGCACACAGGGATTTGATGTGGGTTGTGAGTCTGGAGAGAAGGAAATTGGAACAAGCAGCGCATGAAGAGAATTGGTATTCCATTGCAAAGTACCTGCCTCCGCATACCTGTCTCAAGTAGAGGGATGCGGTGACAGCAGCAGTCCCCAGAATTGTGAATGGCAGCGATAGTTTCTGAATTCTGGATTATTGTGTCAGGGTGTGAAATTCAAATACAAAGTTCAGTTACAGCCTTTGCCCTTCTAGTTCACCCAATGGGTTTGTAAAAACCTCCCCCTTAGGAGTCAAGCCTTTGCTGCTAGCAATATCTAGGTGGGTTTCTATTTTCTGCACTAACTCTGATTGATAGGACTTTGAACCCAATACACATTTATCACCTATGGCAGCTAAAAGCAATATTCTGCCCGGTCTTACATTTGGAATCCCAGCTTCAACACTTAATGGCTCTGTGATCTTAGATGAGTTATTTCGTTTATATGCCTCCGTTTTCTTGCCTGTAAATGAGAGTTATAATGCTACCTATGTGTCACCTTACTCTTCCTTACTCTTTTTTTCTTACTTTCTTACTCTTTCTTTCTTACTCTTTTTTTAGTTAAATGAATTACTATATGTAATGTCTTTAGAAGATGTCTGCAACATGTCATTACTATTATATAGAACATCACACCCCAAAAATATAGCAAATATTTTAATAAGGAAAAGAAAAGTCTGGGGCGCCTGGGTGGCTCAGTCGTTAAGCGTCTGCCTTCGGCTCAGGTCATGATTCCAGGTCCTGGGATCGAGCCCCGCTTCGGGCTCCCTGCCCCGCGGGAAGTCTGCTTCTCCCTCTCCCACTCCCCCTGCTTGTGTTCCCTCTCTCGCTGTGTCTCTCTCTCTGTCAAATAAATAAATAAAATCTTTAAAAAAGAAAAAAAGAAGAAAAGTCATACATAGGAAATCATAAAAATGTATTATTTGTATCCATCTGGTATTTTAAAAGAAAGGATTTATATTTTAAAAGGAGAAATTTAATGTAAATAATTTTTATCTAGTTAACTGAAAAGGCAAAGGAGAACATTACAGTATCATAGGAAAGCAGGTATCACTCTTAGACTTAGGAAAATTAATTAAAATTAGAAACTTGGAGGGCCCCCTGCATTTGGAACCACGGTCTCTGAAAAAAGCAAAACTGGCTTTGTGAGAGTCTCTGAAGGCAGTATGATGAGGCTGATTCTATATAAATTTGATGCAAACACTACTGCAAAATGGCACACAGCTTCTTTTGTTGGAAATGTTTTTAAGAGCATTGATAAAATTGGGGCGCCTGGGTGGCTCAGTCGGTTAAGCGTCTGCCTTCGGCTCAGGTCGTGATCCTGGGGTCCTGGGATCAAGCCCCATGTCCGGCTCCCTGCTCAGCAGGGAGCCTGCTTCTCCCTCTCCCTCTGCTGCCCGCCCCACCCCCCACCGCTTGTGCTCTCTCTCTTTCTTTCTCTCTCTCTCTCTGTGTCAAATAAAAATTTTTAAAAATCTTAAAAAAAAAAAAAAGGCACTGATGAAATGATGCTCATAAGACCAGGAAGCAAACAGGATGGAACAAGTTTCTTTTCCTTCCTAAAGTTCTGAGTGTCCCTCTCTAGTGCCAGCTACCAACTGGACAATAGGGAGCCAGCGCAAGGCAGCAATGTGATACGCAGACTTTCAGCCATACTATCTTAAAATGAATATGGAAGGATGGGTTTGGAGCTGAGAGAGAATAGCTTAATAACTAGCAAATCTACCTAAACTGCTCAGTATCCATATTAAAACTTGAGATATAAATTTGAAATTCCCTATTTCTACCCAATGCAATGCAACTATACTTCATACAGATGGAGATGTACTTCTGTTTCCCCGAAATGGGAAGCAATTTCTAATACCCACTGAATCCGTCTCTGGAAGACAGCTGCACTGTCCCCTTTCTGGGCTATGTTAATTAGTCTTCAGATTCAATCATGGGCTCAACTGACTATTGTATTACTTAAAGACAACTTTTATACAACATTTTTATAAAATCCTAAAAAGAAGGAGGAGATAGTGCATGGGGAGAAACCCCTTAAAGGAAAAAGGCAAGTCACTCCATTTTTTTTCCCCCACTAATTACAAAAGAGTCATCATGTTTGGTGGGCTCTTTCATTTTTGTAGGCAACATTCCTTGCCATTTGAGCATCTTCCTTGGATTTGCTCACCAAGTTAAATTACATTTCTGAATCTAATAGTTATTTATGTTGAAAATAATGTCTTAAAATGGGTTATAATAGAGTATATATTATCTAATATTTTCTAGAGTATAAAGAGATAGTTGTATTTCCAAAATTCTCAGATCATTGTAGCACCTCTCATACATCCTCCAAATATATTCACTCTCTTCCATTTTCATACAGCTAAATTTGTATTACAATCAACATTATTTTCCATACCATTCCATGAACCTTCATGATATCTAAACATTTAATTTGATGCTGTTACTGATCATAACAATGCAATTCGATACTTCTGAATAAAGGAACTCTTGGCTTGTTCTCATTGAAAGGTAAATGATAGATTTTTAAATACAGTAGTGTATTTTTATCCTTTTAAAAATTCCTTTTATGCGACTCTTCTCCCTTCATCTTGTACAGGTATTATTTTTTTTCTTGACAGATTTTAGTTGTTAAAGGAAGGATGCCAAGAGGAAGATGCAGTCAACATGGGATTTCTGAGTCAATAACATAAAAATAAACTTGAAAGACAGGCTTTGTTAAGAAGAGGATTTCATTAACATATCTGGGGCCAACCCTTGATGATCAGATCATAGAATTATCATAAGCCAAGAATCGAACAAAATCAGAGTAAAGTGGGGCAGTCCTTGTCATATAGAGAGGAGACAGACAGACCATGCCTGATTGACTTGAGTTGGAGGAATAAGACCACAGCCATCATGGAAGTAAAGGTCTGTGTCCTGTGTTCTATGTTCTCCCTTCCCCTTTTCCAGGCTAGTGCTCCAGGAATCATGGGGGTATGTATTAGACATGTTCTCGAGAAAGTACGAAACAGAATAGCTTTCACTTTGTTTTCTATTCAAAACCTTGGTAGACCACACACAGGCTGACCCCTCTCCACCATGGTGGGTGGGGGGAAACAGTATTGGTGGAGAGGAGCTGAGTGCAAAATGCTAGGGCACTTTTACTGGCTCTGCAGGACAAACGCTGATACAAGGACCACACAAGACTAGGGAAAATGTGCCCCGTGCCTTAAGGATGGCCAAGTTTCACCAATACCCTAACTTCAGTTTCAAGAGGAAAGTGAAAGGGAGAAAGATCCCTGCAGTTGGTTTAATTGTGGATCTCAATGTTGGAGTTTAATGCAGTAGAGTTTTTTCAAATCGAAAGACATTGTGCAAAACAAAAAATAATGAGCTATTAAAATTTCCCTCCAATTCCAGTGTCTGTTTTTCCTTGTGGGTAGTTTAGAAGAGCTACAGATAATAATGGATGCTTGCATTCTTTGGACATCTGTGTAGTATATGTGTGAAATTAATTTCACAATAATTATCTGTTGATTTAAAAGAGCTTGGTGATCGGAGCTGTATGCACATAATTATATATAATCTAAGTCACAGGCATTTTGGAGACAGAACTCCAAATAGATAAGTGTAGGGATTATACTGTTTCAATACTTCTTTTAATTATTTGACAGTGTTGATATTATATTGTAAGAAGTGATTAGTTCTAATAGTCAAATAAGTTCACTCATTTTATGTAAAACTGTACAATTTTCAGTCCTTTGTGATACTTTGCTATATTTCTATCCTAGAGCATTCTTACTGGATTCATGTTAGAGAAAAACTAACAAAAATTATCTTATTATTCATAAAAGATCCACGTTCAAAGAACAAGTGGTTGCATTTATAAGTTAACAGCTATGAAAAAATATATGTTATAGTTAAAAAGTTTAAGGATTTGTTCTATTTTTTTACATTGTATTATTTTTCATCCAGCTTACATTCTTACATTTTTATTTAAGCCTAGGAATTGACTAGCTATATTAAAAATGAGACATTTTAATACAAATTATCATTTTAATTATTGCTGCCATATAATTTATTTTCTTATTTTAATGCAGAATAATTTGATTTTAAAGTGTTATCATTTTATTTGCTTTATACACTAATTAAAAGCCTCAGACTGGAACCACATTCCATTAAATATCTGTTACATGTCTGTAGAAATGTCTGCTCTATGTGCCTAAAATTCTCAGGGAACTGGAAACTTAATACTCAAGTTTTATATAACTCTGTTAACACCACTCTTAGAAAAAAAAATTAAGGAAAATTTACAACTAAGGTACTGACATAGCTAACAAAAATTCTGCCAATTTAGAATATCTGCTGGTTTGGTGCTATCCATAGAGTTTTTGTTTTAGTGCCAGAATCAAAGATTCCATTTAAAAAATAAAATAAATAGAATGTCTGGGCCACTGGTTGGCAACTTTTGATTCATGGATTTTGTGCTGCTGGTGTCATCAAATCCAAGAATTTATGTATTCAGTTTTTTTTATGTTCCAATTTTTGCTGAGAAGTTCCTCACCTTTCTTTGAGTGCCCTTTAATTTCAACGTGTTATATTTTCTCTACTTTTGCTTTGCTTCAGTGTTGTTTCCAATTTCTATGCTATGACTTGGTTGTTTTAAATGCATCTCTTCCCACCCAGGTAATTTGTTTTCAGTGTGTATGCTATTTAATGTGATAATAATAGCTTATATTTATTGAGCACTTATCATGGGCCAGACATTGTACTATAATACAAACACACACAATCTCAATTAATACTCCCCACTTAAAGACGAGGAAACTGAGGCACAAAAAAAGAAGAAAGTAACTTGTCCAAGGTCACAAACCTGGCATGTCAAAGAGCTGAGGTTTCATTGCATGTGGTCTGACTTTGAAGCACACTTAACAATATATTCTAGTGAAAATTCTATTAGTCATGAGTGACAGAAACTTATTGGAAACTAGCTTATGAAAAATGGCATAAAATGCCTCGCATACCTGAAAAATCCAGGAGTGGTTTTCCAAACATGCTGGATTCAGATACTTAACTAACAGCAGGGTCTCCCTTGTCACCCTTTGGCTTCCTTCTCTTCTCTCTCAGACTGCCTCTGGGTGACTAGAAGGACGGCCACCAGCAGCTATGGTGTCACAAGGGCCTTGCAGCCAGAGATCACGGAGTAGTGAGAGCATCTTTCCTGCTATCTCTAGCAATAATCCTAGGGAGGGTTATGATTAGTCTTGTTCGGGTCACACGCTTCAAGTTGAATTGTGGGCAGGATTGCAAAGACAGCTATGGACAACAGTCAGCCCTATCAAAACTATAAAGACTGAACAGGATTACTGTAGAAGAACGGTTAGATGGAGACAGAAGAAGGATATTGGGCAGACCCAAAAAATCAATCCAGTGTCCATTAATGCACATTGGCCTTAGATTCTGTGAATTACAATTACTAAATAGACAAAACACAAACACATCACATAAAACTTTTCAGATAACAAAAACAAAGACTAATACAACTTGCCCGAGTTCACAATGTGTTAAGTCATCACACTTTTTTTTTTTTTTTAAGAGAGCATGCACACAAGCAGGGAGCAGAAGGAGAAGGAGGGGCTTGATCTTACAACTTCTAGACCAGCACCTGAGCCAAAATCAAGAGTCAGACACCTAACCAATTGAGCCACCCAGGCATCCCCATCACATCTTTTAAAGATAATTATGTATCCAACTGCATTGCCATCAGAGGAATAATGTACAGAATTCAAAACCTAGACCTGAATGTCATACCATCAAGCTAAGTATCAATTTTTTAAAGACTAAATATATTGAAATGGATGAAATTAGACATTAGTCTGCTTAGTCCTTCGGTGTTGGGTAATTAATCTTTTAAAGATATTCTAATGTCCTGTGCATCCTTTTACTTGCATTTCCTGAGGGTATAAAATCCAAGTGGAAAATTTCTATTGGATGAATGTCAGCTTTAGTCACTTTCTTTAGTTGAATAAATGTGATTGCTAAGAACCATATTTAATGAAATAAGTTCAGAAGTTACAAGAACCTGAAGCAACAGCTCGTACTTGATTAACATTCTGTGTAAAACAGAAATGTCATCAAGGAAGAGAACTTATTTTTTAATATTTGTAAAGGTCATTATTGCCTAAGGAAGGGGGAACTACGTTTGGTATGAATCTTTATATATTTCATATACATGCATATCATATTTCTTTATTTTTTTAAGTTATCGTAAGTCCATCTCCAAGCCTCCATTTGGAGTAGATATTAAAGAGGGCACATACTGAATGGAGCCCTGGGTGTTATACACAAACAATGAATCATGGAACACTACATCAAAAACTAATGATGTAATGTATGGTGATTAACATAACATAATAAAATAAAAAAATAAATTAAAAAAAATTAAATCTAAGACATTGCTGGTTTATGCCCCCTATGCATGGTGGTCTAAAATCTAAAGCTTGTGTGCAACGTCGAGTATCTCTGATCCCCCGGAAGTAATGGGTCTGCAGCGTCTTATGCCATTTCAGACATCATACCACTAAGCACAGTCCCTTCAGTCCAGTGGCTATGGTTTCTCTTCTGTTGGGTGTCCTCCATCCTTGTAGAGACTAAAACCACTGTGTCTAGGGTCCAGGCTCCCTGGAGGCTGCCACCTAGGGAGAGTCAAGGGACCCACAAATCTTGGTCCCCTTCACACGTTCTGGAAATGTCATCTCTTTCTATTTGGCCTCTGTGGCCTAATTCTCTTTGCCCCTCTCTCCTCATCTGCTGGGACAGCCAAAATGATCTCATCCATGAGCTAATACTTCTGTAAAAGATAGGAATGGCTATTGTCCTTGAGATGATTCTACTTCCAGCTCCGTAAAAAGTCCAGGAGCAAAAAAAATACAAATGGCCTGGCTACCAACTTGAAATAGGAGGAAGAGGGAGAAATAGCCAATAAACACAAACCCTTGTCTTAAAAATACTGTTCTGTCATATGTATATCATCAGGATCTACAGCTTGAATTGTATACAGGCTCATCAGGGTTTCACCTCTGAAATAATATGTCACATGACAAGAAAGTCTCATTACCTCTAGCCATCTTGAAGTACAGCTAATCAAACACATCTCAGATCCTGTGAGTTGGCGATTATGCCTGAAATGGATGCCAGCAGGATCCATAAACAGCAGCTGGATGAAGGGATGAAGAGATGCCATTAGTGGGGTAAGCAGAATAAATATTTAAAAGCTGTTAGAGAATAGTTAAAGAGGTCAGGCAAAAATACCTACAGCTAGAAAGTGAAGTCTACTGTCTTTTCTAAAACTGAGGGATATAGAGAATTTTGGTATTGGGAGTCTTTAAACTCATCTAACTCAGAAGTTTTCAACCTGTATTCTGGGGGTCCCTGGAGGGGCTTGAAGGTTTCTTGAAATATTTGATTGGTATTCCATTTAAAAATAGTGGTTTTTTTGGGGGCGCCTGGGTGGCTCAGTTGGTTAAGCGACTGCCTTCGGCTCAGGTCATGATCCTGGAGTCCCGGGATCGAGTCCCGCACCGGGCTCCCTGCTCGGCAGGGAGTCTGCTTCTCCCTCTGACCCTCCCCCCTCTCATGTGCTCTCTCTCATTCTCTCTCAAATAAATAAATAAAATCTTTAAAAAAAAATAGTGGTTTTTTTTGTTTTTGTTTTTTTTTTGCTATTTTTAACACTGTAATGAAAAGCAGAAAGTAAACGTAAAAGGGTTACATTGTGAAGGGATACCAAATGGGTGTGTAAATTACAACTTAATTTGAGATCCTAACTTCCACATAAGATGGGACTCCATGAGCCCCATCCTGGAGGAATATGTTAAACTTAGGTAATACTACAGCCCTCCTCTATTCAACATCTACAATGGCTTCCCATCCCACTTGAGGTGAAAGCCTTACATTGGCCAACAGGTGCTACAGGATGCATTCCTTACCCTGATAACCTCATCTCTAATCACATTCTCTTTGCTCACACCTCAGTCTCCTTGCTGCTCTTAGGACATATCACCCTTGCTCCTATCTGCCTTCAATCTTCTTTCCATAGTCATCACTATATTGTTCTTCCTCACCTCCTTTAAATATTTGCTCACATGCCATCTTCTGAATGAGACCCTTCCTGACCACTGTGTTTCAAAATTGTCTCCCTATCTCTAAGTCCCTAATCCTCTTCCCTGACTTCTGTATTCATACATTTTCTCACCATCTTACGTACAGTGCAGTTTAATGTTATGTTTTATTTTATTGCCTGCCACCCTCGACTAATGTGTAAGCTCTCCAAGACAAGGGCAGGGGAATTTGGTTTGCTTTATTATACCTAGGACATCACTACGTAGAAGGGGCTTTGGAAATCATTGTTGAATAAATGAATAGAAGGCTAGATGTTCAGTGGAATAAATGATCAAATGCTATCTCAGAAAGACCAGAGTAAATTATCAAATTTTCTTTATACATTTGTGTGTGCATGTGTATGTTGTAACACTGAATGTGTTAAGAAATATATATATAGACACCTTTATCTCTTATTTCAAATTGTCATTGCAGTTTCCTTTATACACACACTCACTCATGCATTTATTGATCACTTGCTTAAATATATATGTGTGTGTATATATATACATAATCATATATAGATATATGATTATTCATCTTGTTTAACTCACTTGATCCGCAAAACAACCAGCAAAGCTATTAAGGTATTTCAATAGAAGTTAAACCCTGGAAGCAAGGGGCATTTTAGAATTCTCTACCTACCCTCTAGTCACTGCAAGAGTTTCATAGTTTATCTTAAAGGCAGAATGTCCACATATTTGAGTAGACTCTTTTTCTTAGTCTAGTTCAACATCCTCAAACTTAAGTGGCATCAAATAACTCACACAGGGTATATATTCAAGATCATGTATAATCTACTTTATAGGCAAATAAGGGATTATCGAGAGTAATTTTTACTCAACCAGATTTTCAGCTTATTTTCTAATCTAATCTCTCAAAAATGTAACTTCAGTTTTGTACTCTCTAACCTCACTGTGAGTGCAAATTACCTGGTTTCTTTCTGCTTGAACTTCAGAATAGAGCTTCAACTGTCCTATTTGTGCACATATCTCAACATTTTGTTAAGCAACCCTGGAACAAGAAGGTGGTTGTTCTTCTCCACTCTCCTTGAAATTCAAACTTGCTTATGTCCACTCATATAAAATTGCAGCAGCAATTATCTGCTCTGTCTCTTCTTCACAGCATGGTTGTCGGTGGTACAAGGACAAGAGAACACTGCAGGTGTTAAAATATATAGACAGCTTTATCTCCCATTCCAAATTGTTGGTGCTTCTGTCTGATTGCTATATTTTGATTATGAGAGCTTTTTTTTTTTTTTGGATGTTGTAAGTAAGATCAAAATTTCCTACTTTTAAAATTTGGATCAGTTTCATTTCAGAGCGTCCTGAGTTTGCAAGGTGAACTGTTAAAAAAATTGCTTCTATTAATAACCACTTATCTGCTCAAAACAGGGCTTTATTTTTGAAATCATCTAAAAAAATTTCACAGGAATAAATTGTAGGTTAAATCCTCTCTAAGACTAATTGTCATCTACAATCTCCAATGTCAAAATTCTTGTTTCTTCCTTTAGTCTATCATGTTTGTCAAAACAGCCTCATTGTTCCTGATGGAATTTTTTAGCAAGCAATTATTAAAAATTTAAAATTAATTTAAATAAATATACACTTGTTTGTTTTAAGTGGGGGGTTTTGGAATAAGGTTTTCTCTCTCTCTCTTTTTAAAGTTCTGCGACTGAAAATAATTTGACAGTCACTGCTGTAGCCAAGGGATTGGTGAACTTTTTCTGCAAGGACCAAATACTAAATATTTATGCTTTGCAAGCCAAGAGATGAAACTGAGGATATTATGTCCTTACATAATTTAAAAAATCAAGAATCATTCTTAATTTGGAAGCCACCAAAAAAAGGTGGTGGGCTGGATTTGGGCCTCTGGGCTATAGTCGGCCAAGCTCTTCCCTATCCCATTATAATTTATTTTCTGGTGAAGAAACACGTAGCAAAACAGAATTTCCTACGAAAGGTTCATAGATATTGTGGCAACACTAAGAGTAGAGCATGAGCTGCACTGTGGGGCCTCTCGGCATCTAATATTGCTGGGTCGTTAATGAAAACTTGAGAAGAAAAGAGGTCCAGATCAAAAGACCCCAAACCGTAGGTGAAGACAAAACCACACTGAATCTGACTACATAAACACTGGCTGTATAAAAGAACCACGTTTAGCAGGTTTTTCCCTCCCCATATTGTACCCTACTAAACTCACGTTGTACGCAAAGGAAAATTTCTTAAAATTCTTGTATAATTTCCTATATAATAAACCAGAAATTCCAGATGGCTAGGTAATATACACATGCGTAAAAATTCATTTCCTACTCTTACCATCACAACCTATTTGTTTCCAAATTTTAAAAGATCAATAAATGAAACTTAATGACTAAAAAAGTAAAAAAAAAAAAATACAATATAAGGTAAAAATAGGAAAATAGAGCATCTTTTTCTTCTCATAGCCACAACTTTATGTCCTGATGTAAAGATTAGAATATTAGTGATATTTAAAGATTAAATAGCAGAAAATGAGATTGCTTCTGGGAGAAACAGCCTTCTGTGTTTGGAATATTTCAATTAGTTTTACCAAGCAAGACCTTCTAAGGAACTGAGGATAGCTATCTTTAATGTTCAACAATCTTTTGAAATCTCTGGATCATCAAAAATTGAAGATAAAAAAAGAATCATTTATGCTGTCTTTACTATGCAGATTGTACCACAAGATAAGTTTTCTCCTCATAAAAGTATTCCAGTTAACCAAGGAAGAAACAATGGTGAATTAGAATTATTACCATTTGTAACTTCTAATAAATTAACTAATCTGGGAATTCATTGTCAACAGCAGCTTATGTTAGAAACAGAGACAAATATTGGGTCTCCTCCTGAAAGAACACAATATCATCTATTGAGTAATTTTGTTAAAAAAAATTGAACTTGTATCTGGAAATTCTCTAAGTCCAAATACCAATTTACCAATTCACAGGATGAACAGAAAACAGAGAAGCATTTAAATGACACTATAGGAATGGAATCTACAGAATCCAGATGGTAAGAAACCTCATAGGGCAAATGATCCACTTTTTTTTTTTTTAAGCAAATGTAATACAAGGAAAATAAGAGATAAAGGCAGCAATTATTAAAGAAGCTCGAGAGGCGCCTGGGTGGTAGAGTCAGTTCAAATGTCCAACTCTTGATTTCTGCCAGGTCAAGATCTCAGGGTCCTGAGATCAAGCTCCCAGCTGGGCTCTGTGCTGGGTATGGAACCTGCTTAGGATTCTCTCTCCTTTTCCCTCTGCCCCTCCTGTGCTCTCTATCTAAAAAAAAAAAGAAAAAGAAGAAGCAGCAGCAGCAGCAGCAGCTTGAGAAACATATAAAACAATACTGATAATAAAAAAAATAGAAGTGTAAAAATACAATTGGTGGGACTGTTGACAATTTGAACAATTATTTGATAGTTGATAATATTAAGGAACAATTGTTAAATTTACATAAAATGATGGCATTTTTAAAGTTTTTACTTTTTAGAGCTATATATTAAAATATTTTTGGATAAATGGTGTCGGTAGTTTGCTTTTAAAAATTCCAGCAAGAGCTAAGTGGGAAAGGACACAGATAAAACAAGATTGGTTATGAGTTAAAAAGTGTTGAAGTGGGATGATGGGTTCAGGAAGCTCTAGTCCATGCACTTTGTACATGTTTGAAATTTTCCCTTGTGAAATGTTTTTAAAAGATAGCCAAAGGGAATTCTCAAAACCAAGACACAACAATATGGTCATAGTGGCCCTCCACCAAGAATTCTAGTAATTCAACAGGGGATAGTAACAGGAAAACATCAGCAACTACAATAGCCCCATAAGAAGACTGTTTATATAACATACATTCCTCAATGAAAAGAAACCTAAATTTGCAAAGCACGCTTTTTGAAAATATTACTTGGTATATTGTTACTCACATGGTTTGTATCTATTGTAATATGGAAAGTCCAAAAGTCTGGCATTGGGAGTGAATATCACTTTAATTTGTGGCTTACAGCAGAGGATGCCAGAGTCCTGCCCACATCTCCTTGCCTCTA